TCATTATCATTATTATTATTATTATTATTATTATAATGATAATAATAATAATAATTATTATTATTATAATTATGCATATGTGCTTAAATACATGTATATATGCATGCATACATGTATACTGTATACATACATACATACATACATACATACATACATACATACATACATACATATATACATACATACATACATGCGTACATGCTTACACATATATATCCATCCAACCCGCCATGTCTAACCGCGAGTGCCCCACAGTGCCACACGCGACGGCCCCGCTGCGGGCGCGGCACGCAGCAGCGGCTGGTGGTGTGCCGCGCCGTGGACGGCGTGGAGCTGCCGGAGGAGCGGTGCCACCAGGAGGACCGGCCGACGCACGCGCGCCCCTGCAAGACGCCGTGCAACAAGGCCAGCGGGCGCGGGCAGCGCTACCGCTGGAAAGCCGGCGATTGGTCCACGGTAAAGTATAAGAGGCACCCCCTCCCCCCGCCCGGGCCCCACCCACCCAAAAGGAAGTTTAAAAACAATAAAAATAAAAATAATAACCGCAACTATCATAATTCTGCATCTGTGGGTCAGTCCTCCTCCTCCTCTTATCCCTCTTCCTCCTCTTCTTCCTTTCCCTCCCCCTCTTCCTCTTATCCCTCCTCCTCCTCCTCCTCCTCCTCCTCCTCCTCCTCCTCCTCCTCCTCCTCCTCCTCCTCCTCCTCCTCCTCCTCCTCCTCCTCCTCTTACCCCTCCCCCTCCCCCCGACCGCCCCCCCGTCCCCACCCCCCCCGAAGCCGCCCCTCCCCCAAGGCTCCGCATCATAAGTCGTCCTCAGGCTACTATTAGAGGCGAAGGAGGATGACGGGTTTATTATTATTATTAATTAATATTTTATATTTCTTTGTGATGAGAGAGAAAGAGAGAAAGAGAGAAAGGTGTAATAATAAAAAAAAACAGAGTGGATTTTATATTGATATTAAAAAAAAAGAAAATATACTATATATAATAAACTCATATTATGACCTGTGATGAGATTATGTGATAAACTGTACGGTGTGTGTGCGTGTGACATTTTGTAAAGGAAATAAATACTTTAAAGAGATGTTTATCACTGACTTACCCATCCCGCACGGAAAAGGGTTCTGGTGGTACTCTGTAAACTAAGCCATACTGGATGGATTCCCCTTATTGTAGCTCTAAAAAGAATGAAAAATCAAACCAAACTTTTGCTCGCCTTATTAAGGAAAAATGATCTATTAACCTCATGTAACAGAATTCACGTCTAAAACAACTTTTGTATTATCATTTTCACTCTTACTAATTCGTGTTTAGTTTCATTCCTGTCCCGTAGATTTTAGCTTACACTACCACCCCCACCAGTAGAGAAAAAGATTAAAACCCTCTCTCCGTTTGTCTCTTCTACACATCCGCAACACCAGACCTCACTTTTAGATCTATATAAAAATGTATGCTCGACACATACCATCTTCTTTTGGTAAGTTCTTGAAGTTTTTGGACGTCCTGCATGGGCCTCTCCCCGCGGGTATACCCTGGGTCAGAAGCCCCACAGTCTCTCTCGCTTCGTTTCAAAAGGGAAAAGACCCCACCCCCCCTTAAATCAAACAAACAAACAAAAAAAAGCAAAACATGCCGTGATTTTTAAAAAGAGGGATTTTTCATTTTGTGACATGATTTTTTTGTTCTTTTCTTTTTTGATATAAAATGCTTCACAGTTTATGACTAACCTGTTTTTTTTCTCTGCTTTTTACTCCTTATTTATAGTGTCATGACTTTTTCTTCTTCCTTTTTGTCTTCTTTTCTGCTTTACATATATTTATTTTTCGGAAGTTTGTAAAAAAAATCCAATTATTCCAACTAAATCAACTATATACGTTGACCTAGATTTTCTTTTCTCAAATATTCATACACAATTTTTCTTCATGTTTATTTTCAATCACTACTCATTATTCTTTATTCAAATTACCCTTGTGATATGAAAAAAAAACATCCCACAGTATAATTTTTTTTGTCTCGTAGAAAGCCTTAAAGACATTATCGAATCATATTCACTTTGATCTATTGACTTTGATGTGAAAAGTTGTAATTAAAACAAGAAATCTTAATCACTGCTAATTACTCAAAAGATTATGAACACTCTCAGTCTTGCAAGCACTAATGCGCTATTAGTGAATGCAGATTGATAGTAATTTTGCTAAATATATTGTCGATTCAAAAGAGATGTAAATTTTATTATTCAATGTGCAATTTCTTATGACTGATATAGCATTAACGGAAAATACATATTATTATCATATGTTTTCCTATTCCAATTGGTAACTATATCATATTCTTCGTCTCTTCTTCTATAATATTTTTTTCTCTTTCCCTATAATCGTGTCACAAAAGAGATAGATCTCTGTTTAAAATAATTCCACAAACTGGATGTTAAAAGCTTCAAAACTAACCAAAGCCTTTGAGTGAATGTTTGACCCTAATTCCTTTTATTTAAAACATATAACTTTTTTTTTCATGAGACGTAACAATAATCGTAATTTTGACATAAACCTTTCAGAAAAGTCCGTTTTGGCCTTAGTTTAAAAAAAAAAAAATCTTGCGTTCTGTATATTCATTTTTGTTTACTTCATTCATCAGAACTTCATTCCTCTGTTCTTTTTCTTTTTTCTTTTTTCTTTCTTTTTATTAAGAGAATTCCAAGGCACGGAAGCTTCAGAATTCTCAGAAGGCCAAAATGGACTGACTTTAATTCAATAACTTTTTTACGATGCTTTCCAGATTGATTCCCTGTTCCTTCCTCTCGATCCTATAGGACCCCCTCCCCTTCCCCCTCCCCCCTTCTTGACCATGACACAGGAACACTCTTTAAGTCGTTTCCGCGGCCGCTGTGTCAGGGCCGTCACCCTTTGAAAGAAAGAGAAGTGTGACGCCCATTTAATCCCTTTGGATGTATCCTTTCAGTGCTCGGAGGAGTGTGGCCGCGGTGTCAAACAGCGCGAAATTACCTGTGTAGACACGGGGGTGAACATAAATCACGGAGGTGTCTTGTCAGGGGAAGTGCAGGTTCATAGCGATTACTGCTTGCGGGAGGGCCTGTCCAAGCCCAGGGAGAAAAGGGGCTGTAACACGCAGCCCTGCTCCTTCCGCTGGGCCTCGTCCGCGTGGTCTGAGGTACACGAGTTCGGTTCTTCTGTCAGGGGCCGCTGTCACGCCCTCCTTGAGATTACAGTGTTGAAATAAGAACGCAGAAAGTGACTAGTATAGGTTAAATGTCAGTTATAACATTGCCCCTTCCTTTTGGAAGACATAACCAACCCAGTAACTCAGAATCCTGAAAGAGAAACTAAATATCCAACCGTGATCTCAAGGGGCGCCGTCATACCCTGTGCTGATGATGAAACTGTAGTTTGCGCTGTCACGCGACTGGGATGGGACGCGCACAGCTTGAGGCCGCTGGGCTTGTAGACTCCCTGTCTTAGAAGTGATCATGTTGAGCTTGCGTAGTTGTCCCTTCCAAGGCTGCCTCCTCTCGGCTCCTTTGCCTCGGCCTCTGTGGCACTTTGAGGACTCTCCGCTCGTGAATGGTTCTGTTCTAGCTGCGTAGTATGTGAAAAATGTATAGTTTGCTTGGGAGGAATACGCACCACATGTTGCCTGTGTCTTTCCTGGGACAAAAGGTCAGATTGTAATCATCGGCATCTGGGAGTGTTTTACTTTCCTCGGTGTTGTTATTATAATCATTTTTGCATTTTATTATGTACTATGGCCTTACTTTATTTAATGAGGGTGTGTTATTGATTTAGAAAATAATATATTAACTGATACTTTTAAATCATTATCATCAATGAAATAAAGTTAAATCCCCCCCCCCATTTTTTTTATAGTAACACCATGTTAACTCAAGGATTTCAGTATCATTTTCATTGACAAAAAAAATAAAGTAATTTCGATATCATATTTCCCCAAATAATTCTTAAATATTCCAGTTAAAAGTATCACGGGGCATGATTTATATTTGTGTTTGCTTTCAGTCTATACACTTTCACATGACTAAGGCTCTGTGCTCGAGAGAGAGATGGTAGTTGTCATTTTGTATTATTCTGACTTCTAGAAAAAAAACTTCTTTCGTAGACTTAGTGCTTGAGCTGTTGGATGTATATACTACGTATGTATACATGTGTATGTGTATGTATATGTGTGTGTGTATGTATATATGTATGTATATATGTATGTATGTATATATATATATATATATATATATATATATATATATATATATATATATATATATATATATATATATATATATATATATATATATATGTATGTATGTATGTATGTAAGTATGTATATGCATGTGTATATATATATATATATATATATATATATATATATATATATATATATATATATATATATATGTATATATATATATATATATATATATATATATATATATATATATATATATATATATATATATATATATATATAAGCACATACATATACTTACATATATACATATATGACTGTGTGTGTATGTGTGTGTGTGTGTGTGTGTGTGTATATATATATATATATATATATATATATATATATATATATATATATATATATATATATATATATATATATATATATATATATATATATATATATATATATATATATATATATATATATATATATATGTTTGTATGTATGTATGCATTATGTCGTTAAACATTTACAGTTAAAGCTTGTATCATGTTCGCCTATTTTCGGACAGTTCTTCCTTATTCCTATTCTATGATTTCCACGTTTTATTTTCTTCATAACGTTACTGTTTCCCTTGTTCTTGCGATGTCTAAATGTGAGAATGTCCCCGTGCATCCTGTGCTCGAAATGAACTAAAACCTTCACTAGATTTTAGCCTTTATAATCTAATTCCAGCAAAGGAAAACGGTAGAAGTGAAAAGAATGTTGAATGAACGATTAAATCAAAATATTATTCTAGATATCAACATTTTCATTTTCATTATTCTTATGGAATGCTAAAGAGTCTTCATTTCTCTGATGTTTCACTTCGACTAACTTTGCTGGGTGTATATAAAACTGCATTTTGTCTTTAAAGCTTTGAATGTCTGGCATTTGAAAAGCAAAATAATTTAATGAATTCTTTGCAGCATAGATCTTTGTTTTCCTTTTGTTTTTGCTTCAGCATAAGCACAAGTTCTTATTTTATTTTATTTTTTATTAAGTATCTGCTCAAGAATATTTTACTTAAAGCTGAACGCAACCACTTTGGTCAGTTTGAGAATAAAACAGTTAAACAATAACCAACATATATTTTTCAGTTTCTCTTGCTTCCACTGAATTATATACCATCGATAAACTTAATGTAAAGTAACATAAAAAGGCATAATATCAGTCTGACTCGAGCGGCCCTGCCAGGCGCACCAATGCTTCTAACCAGCCTTTCTCTGCCTCCCTTGAATCACCGTCCACGCACTGCCTGCCGGCCCTTGACCTCGCTCCTGACCTGGCTTGCCCCGGGCAGTGCTCCAAGTGGTGCGACGCCGGCCTGCAGCTCAGGGACGTCGCCTGCCACACCGTCAACGCCCTCGGCTGGATGGACCCGGAGCCCTTGGCGCAGGGCTGCAGCGAGCGCAAGCGGCCGCGCAACTCCCGCAAGTGCAACCTGGGCGACTGCGCAGGAGGCTTCTTCTGGAGGGTCAGGCCGTGGAAGCCGGTGAGTCGCTTTGCGCCGCCCCCCCCCCTCTCGGCCCTCGGTCTTCGTCCTCTGTCTCCTCTTCGGGCCCTTTCTTCGTTCGTTTCCTCTCCCTTCTTTGTGGCCATGTCTTCCTCTTTTTCTAATCTTCTTTGGTTTGTTTTCGTCTTCTCGAGTCTGTTTCAATTTCTTCTGTCCCTATAAAAGAAACCGCTTGCCTGTGTTGTTAAACAAAGGGATTAGCGCTCAGTCTAGCCTTGTATAAAGCTTGCACTTGTTGCATAGACTTAAAAACTACGATCGTCATTGTTTTTTATTTGTTTTTTGTTTTTAAGACATGATATTGTATTAATTTCTTCCTCTGATACACCACTTAATGCAACTTTCACTTCCATACTGGTTAAAAAAAGGAATAACATTAAACCATAAAAATATCCCAGCACATCACAAAGCAGATTTAAGAAATCTAAAAGTATATTTAAAAATAAGAATTCTAAATGTAAGAGCAAGAAAACCTCAGGAGCGCCTGTCCTTCCAGTGCCAAGCATCCTGCGGCCAGAAGGGGCGGCAGAGGAGGAGCATTTACTGCGTCGACGCCAACGAGCAGAAGACGAGGCGGTCGATGTGCCCCAAGGAGCACAGGCCCAAGAGGAGGCAGAAGTGCACCGCGAGGCCGTGCGGATTCACCACATGTGCTGAGGTAGGAAGTCCCTTTAGGGTTGTGAGGGTGTGGAGTATGTGGTGTATGTGGAAGTAAGGCTTCTAGTAAACCATAGATCATAGCTCAGTGGTAAAGTCCTGGGTTCGCGCCTGCAAACATGTCATCATGTTGGGGTCAAAGTCGGGGCGGAAAGGAACTGGCCATCCGACCGCATTTAAACATCATTTTGTCTCCTTCTCTTCAGACTTCAGAGACATTACTTGCCATGAACACTATTGGAAAGTAATATGACCGTAGGTTCTGTTTTATCATTATAATCAAAACTAGCTTAGATAACATTATTAAAGTTATGAAATCTTCGTAAATAATGCAACAAAAATAGTACATCCACAGACACAGTTCCTTCCTATAAATATCCCCAAACAAACTGCTGCCCAAGGATTAACCCCCCCCCCCCCTCTCTCTCTCTCTCGCTCTCTCTCTCTCTCTCTCTCGCTCTCTCTCTCTCTCGTCTCTCTCTCTCTCTCCTCTCTCTCTCTCTCATCTCTCTCTCTCTCTTCTCTCTCTCTCTCTCTCTCTCTCTCTCTCTCTCTCTCTCTCTCTCTCTCTCTCTCTCTCTCTCTCTAATGAATACATTAGTTATTTTTCTTTGACGCTGATCACCTATGTTTCATAGGTAATTAGTAATAACAATAACTGACTAGTTTAGAAAATGCTTTCTCATATTTCTCAGTCACAAAAATCCAAGCCATCCCCTCTCTTATAAAAGATCCCAACCAAGAAAAAAAATAGTAATAACAATAACTGACTAGTTTAGAAAATGCTTTCTCATATTTCTCAGTCACAAAAATCCAAGCCATCCCCTCTCTTATAAAAGATCCCAACCAAGAAAAAAAAAATAGTAATAACAATAACTGACTAGTTTAGAAAATGCTTTCTCATATTTCTCAGTCACAAAAATCCAAGCCATCCCCTCTCTTATAAAAGATCCCAACCAAGAAAAAAAAAATAGTAATAACAATAACTGACTAGTTTAGAAAATGCTTTCTCATATTTCTCAGTCACAAAAATCCAAGCCATCCCCTCTCTTATAAAAGATCCCAACCAAGAAAAAAAAAATAGTAATAACAATAACTGACTAGTTTAGAAAATGCTTTCTCATATTTCTCAGTCACAAAAATCCAAGCCATCCCCTCTCTTATAAAAGATCCCAACCAAGAAAAAAAAAATAGTAATAACAATAACTGACTAGTTTAGAAAATGCTTTCTCATATTTCTCAGTCACAAAAATCCAAGCCATCCCCTCTCTTATAAAAGATCCCAACCAAGAAAAAAAAAATAGTAATAACAATAACTGACTAGTTTAGAAAATGCTTTCTCATATTTCTCAGTCACAAAAATCCAAGCCATCCCCTCTCTTATAAAAGATCCCAACCAAGAAAAAAAAAATAGTAATAACAATAACTGACTAGTTTAGAAAATGCTTTCTCATATTTCTCAGTCACAAAAATCCAAGCCATCCCCTCTCTTATAAAAGATCCCAACCAAGAAAAAAAAAATAGTAATAACAATAACTGACTAGTTTAGAAAATGCTTTCTCATATTTCTCAGTCACAAAAATCCAAGCCATCCCCTCTCTTATAAAAGATCCCAACCAAGAAAAAAAAAATAGTAATAACAATAACTGACTAGTTTAGAAAATGCTTTCTCATATTTCTCAGTCACAAAAATCCAAGCCATCCCCTCTCTTATAAAAGATCCCAACCAAGAAAAAAAAAATAGTAATAACAATAACTGACTAGTTTAGAAAATGCTTTCTCATATTTCTCAGTCACAAAAATCCAAGCCATCCCCTCTCTTATAAAAGATCCCAACCAAGAAAAAAAAAATAGTAATAACAATAACTGACTAGTTTAGAAAATGCTTTCTCATATTTCTCAGTCACAAAAATCCAAGCCATCCCCTCTCTTATAAAAGATCCCAACCAAGAAAAAAAAAATAGTAATAACAATAACTGACTAGTTTAGAAAATGCTTTCTCATATTTCTCAGTCACAAAAATCCAAGCCATCCCCTCTCTTATAAAAGATCCCAACCAAGAAAAAAAAAATAGTAATAACAATAACTGACTAGTTTAGAAAATGCTTTCTCATATTTCTCAGTCACAAAAATCCAAGCCATCCCCTCTCTTATAAAAGATCCCAACCAAGAAAAAAAAAATAGTAATAACAATAACTGACTAGTTTAGAAAATGCTTTCTCATATTTCTCAGTCACAAAAATCCAAAAAAACATTAGTAATACATAACTAAATGAAATAAACAAATACCCAAGTAAACCAAGCAAATGCAGTCCAACGACCCAAGGCAACCCAACCGCCTCGCTCCCCCCGCAGCTTGTTCAACCCCGAGACGTGCCCCCACGAGGGCAAGCGCCGCTCCGACTGCGACTGCGAGACCGACGAGACCGACCGATCGGGCTACACGGCCTTCAGCAGGATTCGGCTCAACACGACGTCCCTCTCCGTGGATGGTGGGTGGAGGGAGGATGGGTGGGAGGGGAGGGGTTGTGTGTGTGGGGAGGGGTTGTGTGTGTAGGGGTGTGTGTGTGTGTGTGTGTTTGTTTGTGTGTGTGTGTGTGTGTGTGTGTGTGTGTGTGTGTGTGTGTGTGTGTGTATGTGTTTGTGTGTGTTTGTGTGTGTGTGTGTGTGTGTGTGTGTGTGTGTGTGTGTGTGTGTATGTGTGTGAGTGTGTTTGTGTTTGCACTTGTGATTGTGTTTGTGTGTGTGTGGGGGGGTAGATTATATGGATGAAGGATAGGCTGTTGGATATATTTGTATAATGATGTGTCCGTTTCTGAATCCTGTCCCGTTTGTGATCTTACGTGGTCACGTTATGATAAACTGAGTCTGTAATGTTCTCCGTCTTCATCAACATCAAACACTTTAAATTCTTGTAATGGTTTTCTTTTTATTTGTTGCATACATATCGTTCGCCATTCTTCGTATCCCTCCTCATCCTCTTCATCCCTGCTTTCATTTGCATAATCCATCATCTTAGTCACCGCCCTTCCTAATCTCCCTCATCCGCACCATCCGTGTCATTCACTTCTCTTCCCAATCTCTTTCATTTCTCTTCGTCCCTCTCTTCACTTCTGCCATCCATCTCATTCACCGTCTTTTCTTATCTCCCTCATCCACTTCATCCCCATCCTGGTCTCCCCCTTCGTATCCCCCCTGATTGTCTCCTCACCCGTCTTCGTCTGCATCATCCACCCCTTTATTCCCCACCCTGCTACCTCCCTGACCCGCCCCCCCCCATCCTCCACCATCCACCCTCCTCCTCCCTCCTCCACCATCCACCCTCCTCCTCCCTCCTCCACCATCCACCCTCCTCCTCCCTCCTCCACTATTCACCCTCCTCCTCCTCCTTCAGCGTACGACTTCACCTTCGCGCGAGCCGTGGAGGGGCGCCGCCTCGTGCCCTACGGAGAGGCGGGCGACTGCTACAGCAAGGCCAAGTGCCCCCAGGGAGGCTTCTCCATCAACCTGGCGGGGACGGCGCTGGCGGTCTCCTCCAGGACCACGTGGCTCAGGAAGGGCAGCCACGCGGCGCACTGGATCAACAGATTAGATGTGAGTTGGGGAGGGGTGGGGAGGGGGGAGTGGGTCCGGGTGGGTAAGGGTGGGCAGAGTGTGGATCTGGGTGGAGTGGGTAAGGTTTGTGGGGAGTGGGTCTGGAGTCGGATGGGAGGGGATGGGATGGGGGGGTGAGGTGGTGAGGGATGGGGGCTGAGATGGGTTCGAGAATGGCGTAGATGTGGGTGGGTTGGGAGTGGGTCGAGGTGGGGCAGGGTAGACAGAGGGCGTCGGTTGCTGTTGTTAGAACTTCATTGATAGTGATTATTACTGTTTTTATTGCTGGTATAGTGAGTATTACCATTACCCCAGCCGATAGAATTATTAGTGTGAGCAGTGGAAGGTATGGTATAATTTCAAGCACAGAATGATATCAGTCACTCTCTGTCTCATACTTACCATTTATTTCAAACTCCCCGTCATGTGTATAATCACAACGAAACAGGACATTTAACATTTCCCCTTCGAGTGACTCCCAGTCAGTTTAATGCATCACAAGGACACTGGAAAGGTCGTGTACCGAGTCTTGCGTTAGTCATCCCATCACACTGTAAGCAGAAACGCTACGACAACAGAAACGAAATAAAAATGTTTTTTATCATGTATACACGTTACTCCATTTATGTTTGTGTCTACAGAGTACAATACCAATATCCGTCTCCTCTTGCAGGATAACCAGAGAATCCTCGGGCGGTGCGGAGGATACTGCGGCACGTGCACCCCCGACCCGTCCATCGGCATCAAGCTAGGCCTGAGGGACGGTTGACCCCCAGACCGCGTAGAGGCTCTGAGAAGGATCAAATACTACTTCTAAGGTGTTATATGGGTTCGTGCTCGTGTGTGTCGCGTCCTCTGCTGAGAAGAAAAGGGGAGGAAAATGAGTGAAAAAAAAGTAAAAACGACGATTCAAGTTGCTCATTACGAGAGAGAGAGACTTCTTGGGGCGATGAAACGTCCAGAAGATTCCTGATATTGTGCTCTGAAAGAAGGGCGTTTCTAGAGCGCCGAAAAACGCAGGATCTATTACCTTCAAGGCATCTTCCCTTAACTGAATGCTGCAAACAGAAAGCAATATAAACAGTGAGGTGTACTTGTAAACAAAGACAATGAATTTTAGATGTAAGGCAACTTTTAGTGTAGCAGAAGTAAGACAATAACAACCAAATATTTAAACACTGCCATTATGTTACATGTATGTATTAAAAAAAAGTAATAATGATGATAATAATGATTATAAAAGATCTATGGAGAAATCGCATTGATCTTATAGCTCTCTTGTGTAATAAAAGTGATTCTGGAACACAGTCGCAGGAATGCATTCAAGGCAAAGAAAGACTTCTTAAAAACAAGCAAAACAAAAGAAGAAAGCAGGGTGGGGGAATCATTACCTTCTGGCACACACCAGCCTTCCTCTGATCTCAAGATAAAGGAAAGGGAGAGTGTAACTAATCTCCGCTTTAAGGTAGTATGGTTATGTAAAATTCGGAAGACTGACAAAGGGAAATTTTCCGTAAATATAAAAGCATGTCCAGATTACTAGTATGAGATAGTTTATACTAGACAGTCGAGATGTTTTAGGTATATTGTCACAAAGTTAGACTCATTGTTTTGCTTTGTCTTCAGCCATATTAATTCAGTGCACTAAAGCACAATCACATATATTCAGCCAAGTGCACTTTTGAACATCAGTAAAGAAAACACAAAGATTATAGACTTTTAGGAAAAGAGATATTGCAGAGCAAATTAAGGAATGCATTTTAATGGAGACTTCTGTTGTAGTTTACGAATGTTAATTTGGCTCTCGTGACAATATTGGCATATTTCGAGTAAACACCGTAATAAAAGAAGACATTAGTAAATGAGTCAGAAAGGTTAATGTAGCTAAAACATCTTAGCTGGGTAGTTACTGTTATCTTTCATTTGATGTATATTTCTTAGAATTTGCCTAATAGATGCTATTGATGAAGAGATCATACTTAGAGTAAGTTGACTATAAGTTTTAAGGTTGCATTTTTCTTTTCTCTAGAGAGATTTAATTTTAAGATTTTGCACTAATTACTGCATAGAAATGTGAACATGCTTTGAGTGTACTTTGAGTCTGGCATCTCAGGAACGGCTCATACGTTTGGGAATAGATGCTGTTGCAGAGAGAGAGAAAGAGAAAAAGCTAAAGAGAGAGATTAGAATAAAGAGTGAACTCAAGCTTCATGGTCTGCTTGCTGTGTAATTTGACTTGTCTCACTTGAAGGATTCTGTGAGCTGTCTGCAACAAGGATTCCTGGAGCAACCATAACGATAGCCCTGGTTGGCTGTGTGTCTTCCGCAAATCGGTGTCTACCTTGAGTGTCCGTTTCAGGCAACGCCACTCCTCCTCTGCCAATAGTAGTGCATGATGTGGCTGGTTCACGAAGCACCACTGATTGACTGCCACTGACTGCTTTCTCTGCCTGGTTGGGCGACGACCAAACGGGCCCTATTCTCTGCTGTGTTCCCTTGCTCTTGATGTGTTTCTCTGAGATCTGTTACTTCTGGTATATGAATATATATATTTGATGTGGTGTTTGCAAATGCCTTTGGTGTCATCAGGACTGAGTTTGGTTCTTTTGGAAGAAAGGTAGCCTTATTTATTCATTCTTGATGGTATTTATATAATATACACGTCATTTACTTCTTTGTATCACTACTAAATAGACCTAGATTAGTAATGTGAATCTACACTGCCATCATTACAATCATCCATCATAATGACCTAGCTCCTGCGATACTTACACTGCCAGCTTTACCTTCAAAGTGTCTACTTTGTTTCCCCCAATCACTGTCATTCTCTGAATCGATCGCGGTCATGTGACCCCATTTGATCCATGAAACCCTAAAGGGATATGCCCTGATTTGTACCATTTCACACGAAGGTCTTTATTGGTCCAATGCGCTGCTCCTTTGCCACTGCGTCCAGACAGCTATGTAGCTCTTGATGGAAGTATGACCCACTTCGAAGTCTCTGATTTAAGGAGACTTTTACAGCATAAGAAGTGGACCTAAACATTATGTTTCTCCTGAATGCTATTGTTGATGCTCCTCATTCCCACCGTATCTATGCATTTTTTTAAATAGGAAGGAAGAATAATTATTGTCTTATCATCTCTCTGTGTATCGACTTACGTGATGCTAAGGTTTTGTTTTGGGTATGTGCCTCTTTTGGCTCAATCATTAGCATATTTTTTTCCTACTCGTTGATGGTGCCATATGAGTTTTTTTTTTCTTTTCTTCAATGTTTTATTTCTTAGGTTAGCTTTATATGTCTTGTTTCTGTATCTTCTTTGTTTATATACATATATAAGCTTTCATGACCACACCATGGACTATCTGAACTTTTACTGATAAGGGAATTAACTTTTCACCAGGACTGTACATTGCAAGTTTTTTTTATAAGTAAGTTATTGATTTAGGCAACAGCACATTAGTACAAAATGTGAATCAATATTTAAAAATTATAACGTGAGTATTTTGCAGTGCTCTTCCCTAATTGCAATGACTGTTCCTTAAGGTTGTACACTTGAGTGGTCATCAAAGGTAGATCTGAAATCTTTAATATATATATGCATACATATATATATTATAAACTGTCCTTCAGGTCAATTTTAGTTGTATGTGTTTAATATCTAATGGTTGTTCTTTAATATTTTTTTGATATGATTATATTTTTCCGATAGTTCATTTGCAATTCGAAACACCAATATGCTATGTGTTTGTTTCAGTTAATGGATATTTATAACAGGGCATAGAAGAGCAGGCTTTGATTTTAAGAAGATAGGTATACCGTGACTGTGTTATATTCACGCATATGCACCTTGCACTCATGCATTCAACACTTGCGTGCGCAACATGCTGTACACACGAAGTGTTATTGACAAGTAAAATGTATTGAACTTTAACTAACCGTGTGCTAAAAAGTAAAAAATGAATAACCGTAGAGAATATAAATGATAAATTAGATTTAAAAACAACACAGCACTTGACATAAATATCCATAAAAGATAACGAGATTGGCCATGCATGACCATTCCAGTTTCAATGACATTTTACTCGATTGTAGCTTTGTGTTTTTCTTTCTTTTTTTAGTTGTTACTTTGCTGTATATATTGTATATATGTGTACATATGTTATACTGTTAGTTACATGTAATTTCCAGTGTTAATCTAGTCAGTATTTTTTTTTTTTCATTATTTTTTGTATTTTTTGAATTTCGTTTTTTTCTTTTCTTTTTTAATGGTGATGGCATACTCTTTCTCTCTCTCTGTTTTTGTGCATTTCTTTCAATTTCTGATAGCCTGCTATGAAGAAAAGGAATATGAGATGTTGGTAGGAATAACGCACAATCCCACATGTTGTGAAGGGTTGAAAATATAATTGAGAATCTTTTTCCTGCACACAGCTAAATGAGTAATGTAGAAAGGTGAATGTATAACTACATATGATTAAAAAAAAAAGTAGAACAAAAATAGAAAAAAAAAACAATTTATATTTCCTAAAATGAGAATCGTAAGATTTCCAAAATGCTCATATTTTGTAATTTTGTACGTTGGGAAAAGATATATATATTTGTAATAACCATATGCCGAAAAAAAATGATTATTATGTGCTGATATTAATGGAAATATGTGACATACATCTTTCCAATATGCAATACAATATATGACCTATACTTCTTGTTTGTAGATTTATTTTTATTTTATTTTTTGTTTTCCATCAGATCCGTATTTCTTTCGTCTCTGTAATAATGCATGAATCTCCTTTCGAAATACTCAAATAGTTGTCCCAAGCAAGAGGTATGGCGTCACGAAAATGCTAGGATAAAATTTGCGGTTCTGTGAGTCCATGTCGCTTAAACTTTTATTGTTACTAACGGGATATGATGGCTGATGATGTTCTATGCCTTGTCTCCTTTTTATTTTTTTCTAATGAATTGTAACTTATTCAATAAAGTGATTTTCTAAGACTGGTGCCACCATTTGCCTTTTTAATGTCAATATCCAGAACGCTTGAATCGGTGCCTCGGCTCAGCGGGCGATCCCCTTGGGTCTGGAAGGGACACGATCGAGTAGAAAAAAATAAATAGATGATAAATAAATAAGATAACTGAAGTGGAAGGAAAACAGAGTGTGCTAAAATGGCCCTACATTGCCATTCTACCGGTCCTGTCACGGGAGGGCCATGGCTTAAAATCCGCATAAAATGTAGACCGGACCACTGTTGTGTGGAAGATCATTGGCTTTGGACGCAAACTCATATAAACGAGCGCTTTATGTTACTAGAGTTTTATGTTTGTTCTCATGTTTTTGCCTTTGTCGTCTACTAAATGCCTTATTCCTCACTGATATGGAAGTAGTCGAATTATAGTTCCTGGATTTTGTAACTTTTTTTCCTTTAGCAGACGAAATTCTCCATAAATTGTAATGCGATGTAAGCCAATAGAACTTGAACGAAAGTAAATTGAAGCTGAAGACATAGTGTGTAATCTTTATGAATAATATCGAAGAAAAAAAACACAATTTAAGGCGGTTCTCAGAAAATATAGATTTCTTTAAAAATTTAAGATTTAAGGTCATAAGTTTTTGAACTGTAAACAGCTTGGTCCGAGAAAAAAAAATCTCATACGAAAATAATCAATATATACTTCAAAATAATATTAAACTATTATCATTTGTGTCCCAATGTTACTGTTTATTATGTCATTGCTGATAGAAGTACGATTATCATTATTACGTTATCGTCTTCATCCGTATGAATAAAGTTCGGTAAATGGGACCTTGAGAATCATTCATGTAGTGAGCTGACGTCCCAGCTTCCTACTTGCCGCTCTCGCCCCTGTGTCAGGCTTCGTAACCTATTTCTTACTAGTCCCCCCCCCTGACTATCCCTGGCGCCTGGCCGTAACGAACGATTATAGATGGCGCAGAAGGCGACGCTGCAGAGGACCTGCCTGCAGAAGACGCTGACGAGTGAACGCGGACACCTTGCTGTAGTCTTTACTGAGGAGGAGGATGACATGATTCTTTATACCGGCTTTCAGCCCGGAAACACCTGGAGTAACGCTGCAAACAACGTATTTCTGAAAGCTGGCGACAGAAAACGGTGTATAGTTGTTTGGCGCCAGAGCCTGGTTGGCTAGCCAGCGTAATTTTATCTCGTTTCATATTTAAAATCTTGTATATATTTTATTTTCCTTTTATTTCTATAAAAAATGTCATATGTTTTTCTTAAATACCTCCCCTGCAAATACCAACTGAAAATGAGCAATCGTACAATAACTGAGATTAAAGCTATAACGTCTCAAGGAGCAGACGACACTTTTAAGAATAACGAGTCTTGCTGCGCAGACTCCGAAACTAACGAACTTGGCGCACGACCTTGTTCGTATAAAAGGTCGGGTCAACGACCTTGTAGAGAGTTGCGCACACCTTTGGCTCTGTGAACTACGCTCGGTCTTTCCCTCAGAAAGCCGGCGTTTTTAACGAACTTTTTTTTTTATTTCTGGATTTATTCTTACGTGGATTTTACGAAGGATTTACGAAGCTGTTTTTTAAAGGTATTGTTTTTCTGTTTTTATTAAGATTGCTCTTTTTTTATGGAGGTTTTAGTTGTGTATTGTTTTTATGGCTTAATAATAATGATTTAATGAACTGGCTTTTATTTTTATTTCATCACGTTTTAGGTTCTTTATTTTAACTAAGTGAGAAGTTTAACCCACATTATGATCTTTATGTTATGTCTGTTTGGTGATTTCTCAGTTCATTCGTGTTTTCTTACTTTCTTTTATTTGTAACTTTTCGTACTCTCGCTTAACGAGAGTACATTGACAATGCAACACGGCATTCAGGCTTTTCCTGCAGTCAGGTTAGATGCATAGAGCTTTGGCCATGATAATTGAGAGCTAATTCCGCTACCACATGATTATCTCTAACCTGCTGAGTACCGAACCCTTTTTATTCTTATGTGCCGACACAGGACGCACGAGATCTTTCTCACATGCTCCTACGGCCCGTCCAGGGACAGCCTCGCCCTACAGGACGTTTTGGTTGGCAGCGTCGGGATTGAAAAGTCTGTTTTTGCAGAGCCAGTTGGCTGCGTAATCTTGTGTTGTCTTGTTACGTATCATGTCTTTAGTATTTTGCGGAGCCAGTTGGTTACGTAATTTTGTGTTGCCTTGTTGATGTTGTGTATCATGTCTTTGGTATTTTTTCGGATCCTGTTGGTTGCGTAATCTTGTGCTGTGTCTTATTGATGTTATATATCATGTTTTTGGTATTTCTACGGAGCCAGTTGGTTGCGTAATCTTGTGTTGTGTCTTGGTGATGTTATATATCATGTCTTTGGTATTTTAAGAGATTTCGCCAAACAACCTGAAAGCTAAATGTGATAAACACTGGCTTAAAGTAATATTTTAATTAAAGTGCCTTTGGAAAGTAACGTAATTACTGCGAAACAATTAGTTTTCGTACTTTATCATTTAATTTTAATGCAGTATTTCTCGTGAATTTTGGTTTTGGTATTTACCAGTTTTTACCTTTTAACTTTCGGATAAGTTTTATGTTCATTTTATATTTACTCTTTCTTGTTCGTGTGTATTATGTACTGAATTTCCTTGTTTACTTGTTGATATTTACTGAAAGTGAGGTGAATAGATTATCGTTTTTGGCTATTGTATTCTTCTGACTTTAACCATGGTGAAGCTCAGGAAAAGGAAGCCGCAAATATCTGATCTTGATGACGAGATAGCGCTGGTAGATGAGGTCACTGAATTAAGGGGGATGCTTAAAGAGTTGTCAGGTCAGATGGCACGCCTTGACAGGCAGAGGGAGAAAGATCGTGAAGAGATGAAGGCAATGCTGGAGAAGTTGACACTAAATTCAAATACCGAGGCTAATGCTGGTTCTCCAGAGCCGCAAGGTGCCACGGCACTCTCTCCTGGTAATATGTCACCCTCGACAGGAGCTATACCTAAGAGAACTCAGCCTAGACCACCGGTTAGGGAGTTTTCTCCTCCGGCATTAACACCAGTAACTCCTCATTTGCCTCAGTCTCGTTTTGTGCAGGAAAATACTCTGCCTTTATCAAGTAGACCACAGGTGGCACCTCGTACTCTTTTACACCTCCTGTAGTTCAGCCACATGCAGCCCCACAGCCAACCTATGTCGTAGTGTCTGATCGTGATAGTATCACGAAGTTTAGAGCTGAAGCCCCTGCCTCTCAGCCAATTCGGAGAAACCAGGAAGTGGAGGGATGGCTTAGGCAGCTGGAGAATACCATTAAGCCAGCTACTGATAAAGCATTAATTCGTGCTGCAAAGGCACACTGTCGAGGTCAGGCAGACGTGATCATAAATTCACCCATTTTTGATGATATTTATACATGGGCTGAGTTTCGCCAAAAGATACGGCAAAAGTTCAGAGGGACATGCTCTGCCTCTGACTTCTTTACACTTTTGTATGAGGTACGCATGATGGCAGGTCAGGCACCCTTAGATTTTCATACCACTCTTGAGGGGATGGTCTATCAGGGTTATCGGGACCATCGAGAAGCAGTTGGAAACCCTGAAGAATTAGTACGAAGGGTCTTCCTCCAAGGATTGCCTGGCTGGCTGAGGGAATTGCTTGCCTTAAAGGCAGGTGACTCTGTCCAGTCACTAGTTGAGACTGCACAGAGACTGTGGAATGCTCGAGTGGGCATTAGGAATGATGATGAGCCACCAAAGCTCCCTGCAGCACCTCGCAGAGAGATTTCAGAGGTCTCACGAGTCCCACCTCGTCCAATCCGTCGTAGAGATCAGCATTCTGTTCTGGTTTGCTGGGGGTGTCGGCGAGAAGGACATTTCCGCAGAGAGTGTCCCTTTCAGAACATCCAGAATGGAGATGCTCCCGCCATCTCTGGGTATCGGAGGAGCCAGAATAGGGTCCACTTCCGAGGACCACACGAGTATACCCGCAGGCAGACAACCGTTGATCGAGGCTGCGGTCCAGACAGTGACCTTGAATGAAATCGTTACACAAGGACCTTGTGGGAGGCCCCTTGTAAAGATACGAGTCCATGGAATGCCTATGACAGCTTTCATAGACACAGGGTCTGAGGTCACTCTCTTAAAGATGGAAGGAACTAAGTCAATAACCCCAAAGAGAATCTATCACCAAGTTCGTGGCCTTCGGGGAGTGTCAGGTCGACTCTTTGAAGCCACCTCTGAGTGGGATGTAGAGATTTCCTTGGGAAATGGTAGGAAGACACGGCGGTGCCATCACAGGGTGTGTGTGGTGGAGGGTGTCGACTTTCCAGGGGACATCCTGATTGGGATGGATTTTCTTCGGAGGTTTTGCTACAGGCTAGTACATAAGCCTGCTCCTCTTAAGGCTTACCTGAGACTTGGAGGAGTGACTCTCCCTGTCACTTACACTGATAGGTGTACATTAGGCATTTCTGGCATATCAGAGTTTGTTCCACCTGAACATAGCCAAAGGCTTGCTATAAGAAGAACCACACAATGCCCTTCTCGTAGTGGTCGATACATTCTTGTGACTGTTCCTGAAGCTTTTAACCATAAGGAGGTCATTATTGAAGGAGCTACTGACAAGATAATTGTCCCTAGGACAGTAGTTATACCTAAAGATGGAGTAGCTTCTGTGTGGGTGGTAAATGGAGGAACACGTCCAGTATGCCTGCAGAATGGCACGCATGTAGCAACGGGTCAACTGTGCACAGTGATGGAGTTAGAGCACCTCTCTAAAGAGCCCGGTCTTGTGGGACAGACTCAAGAAAGGCAGATGAGTGAAGATTCATCTGAACATAAACTAGATGATGATGATGGTATACCTGATCCCCATTTTAGTTTTGATAAAGATGATTTTGATCTTGCTTATGGTCAGCTGGATTTTGGGTATAATGATAATGATTTTATTGTGTTCCCTGAGGTGAGCTTAGATGATCCTCCTGAGGTGTCAATGCTGAC